ACCTCTCAGGTTCCTGCAGTCTTTGTGACCAAGTAAGCTCAGATATATTTATTTTATATAATTTTGACTTTTGTTCCACATTTTCTCCCACTCTGTTTATGACATTCTAGTGTGATCCCTCTAGGAGCAGTTGGTAGTGGTAGCTGAGTACCATCCAGTTCTGATCTCAGTCTGGAGACTGATGTGCACGTGTTCCATTAGTCTGTTACACTAACTCATACCAAGTCTCTTCAGCTCTCATCACTTTTTTTTCTTCCACACATGGAGAGACGAATAGTTGCACCTTAGATGGCCACTCATGAGCTTTAAGATCCCAGATGCTCCTCACCAAAGTAGGATGTAGAACACTGTGGACGCTGTTGACTATGGTGTCCCCTGAGATTATGGTCCTGAGCCCCCAGGCCCAGCAACTCATTACCTTGAGATGTTTGGTAGTATCTAAAAAGTTTTTGTCAATTGCCCACTGTATGCTCCACTACATTCATAGTTGTATTTGCAGCAAAGATAAAACCCATGTACAAATATCCTCTTTCTTCCTTATCCATTCATTCAGTCTGTATCTGTCCATGTGTCTACCTACAAAACATTTGTTCTAATGTGTATTTAACACTATTTACCTCTTCCCTGCAACCTTTACATACCTCCTGTTTGTGTCTTCTGTTTTCATCATCATTTAGCCAACCTCCCTCTTGTATGTTGCCCTTCCCCTTCATGTATATTGCCCTCCCCATCACCCCAGTTAATAGTTGTCTACCCACTGCCAGTGAATTACTCTCCTCTCCCACCCTTGGTAACCATCAAAGAATGTTTCTTTTTAATTTTTATTGTGAATTAAGTAAAGGTTTACAGATAATATCATCAGCTTTACATCCAACTAGTCATATATTTTATCTCCATATTTACAATCCCCTCAGTGTAACTAAATAGTTATCCTGCTTTCTGCCTTTGGTTCCTATTTGCATTCCACTCACCTTTCTGTCCGTTCTCAACTTTGTCCTTCTGATTTGAATGATTGCCCAGACTATGGTGAATGTACTTTGCTAGTGTTGTTGTCCCTCTCCCTCATTAATCTATATACTGCTTGGCTGAAAATTGGGCCAGAGGGTTGAGTTCCTTTCCATAGTCTCAGGTTCCTCCAGTCTTTTTCTGACCAGAAAACCTATTTTTTTGTTGTTAAATTATTTTGAGTTTTGTTTGGCATTCTCTCCCACTCTATTCAGGACCTTTAGGCAGTTGGTAGTGGTAGCTGGGCACCGTCTAGTTCTGGTCTCAGTCATGGACACTGATGTTCACATGTGTTCCACTAGTCCATTGGACTAATTGATTCCAGGCCTCTTCAATTCTTGACACTCACTCTTCCGCACATGGTGGTTATGCGCTGTGGGGTTGGTTCTGACTCTGACTCTGACCCTGTATAGGGTTTCCAAGGCTATAAATCTTTATGGGAGCAGGATGTTTCATCTTTCTTCTGAGGAGCAGCTGGTAGATTCAAATTGCTGCTCTTTCAGATAGTAGCTCAGCTCATAATCCACTACATACTAGAGCTCCTTGGAGAGACCATTAACCACCTAAAGAATGTTTCTTTTAACATGAAAACCTTGAGTTAGTACAGTAGTGGTCTCATAACAATAGTTTTCCTTTTGTGATTGATTGATTTCACTCAGCATAATGTCCTCCAGGTTCATCCACTTTATGAGGAATGTTGCAGAGTCATCATTACTCTTCACCATTGCATAGTATTCCATTGTGTGTATGTACCAAAATTTGTTTTATCCATTCAACCATTGATGGCCATTTAGGCTGTCTCCATCTTTTTGCTGTTATGAAGGTGCTGTGATGAACATCAGTGTGTGAGGGAACTCTATCTCTTCTTTTTTTTTTTTTTTTCACATTAATTGGTACTTTATTTGCTTAAAACCTAGATAACATTGTCAGTTTGAGAAGAAATTCACTGTGATATATAGATTGATCTTGTCATTTAAATTCTAGGGTTTTTTTAATCTTTTTTTTTTCGCCCCAGGAATAGGAGTGGGAAGGGAAATAAATATACTTGGAAAAGTTTATCCAAGAAACAGAACAGATACACATATATTTTAAAAACATGAACAAACCATTAGAGAATGAGATCTGAAATCAAGAGTGATTTCAGTTTTGGCAGCCCCTGCCTTTTTTTTTTAAAGACTGCAGCTGGATAAAGGCTCACTGGCTGTCATCTCAGAAATAACAAGTGATGAATAAAAAAGAAAACTTACCCCGCCACAAGGCCTGACAATTCTGTTCTCCACACCCTCCCCCAAGATAAAAATATGAATACTTTACATAACAACTCAGAATTGGTCTTCATCTCCTACCTGCCTCATCAGTGGAAGTTTAAATTCATGATTTAAAAAAAGACATCGAAGCTCATGTATATAGATTAAGAGGACAATTGATTTCTTTTTTCTTTTTAAAGTACAGGCAGGGAAAGAAGCTATCATTTTTAATTAAAACCTTTCTGCACTTTCTGATTACTGTTCAACTTATTATTATTTAGCAAAAAGCAAAATGTTTATAGTGTTCATCTTAAATCTTATTGCTCTCCCACTGTAGTATGCTTTCCATTAAAAATAAAGAGATGGAGCGGTCAATCTGGTGATTCATTTGGCATGGCTTTCATTGGAGACTGGGGGTGGGGTGGGGAGTAGGTGGCAAAGAGAAGAGGACATCCAAAAAGTAACTTACACATACAATGGTTTTCTTTAAAAAACAAAGAGAGAGAGAGAGAGAGAAAATGTTATCTTCAACAAATGGAAACAAGCATTCAAAGCCCATCTTTCAAGCCATAGCCAAACCATGTTCTATCTTAAGGCGGTTCTCTTTCTTTGTTAATAAAATCTCTCCCCAAACCATCATCACTTTTAATCATCCCCAGACTGGGCTTCATCTTCAGACCCTTCATCCCCAGATTTTTCTGGTGGAGGGCTGGCAGATGTTTTCTTTTCTGGAGGGCTTTCTGTTTCCTCATCGTCTTCTTTGGGGGAAGAAGTCTTTTCCTTTGATGCCTTTGAAGTTGCGGGATGACCCGCTTTCCCTTGGCCCTTCACTCGACTTGGCGTCACTGTTGCCTTTAGCCTGGGTTTGGGCATTTTCTTTTCTTTTCACTCAGGTTTGGATTTCTTAACCATCTTTTTGTTTTTCTTTTTTGAACTGCCATAGTCACTGTCATCGTCTTCCATTAGGAAGTCTTCACCACTGCCAGAATCTTTTCTTGGAATGGTGCCTCATCCTCCTCTCGTTCTTCCTCACTGCCCCCATCTTCCATAAGCACGTCTCTCTTGCTTCGAAGCTGCTTTAGAAGCTGCCTGTCGCTGCTGACGTACATTTTTATGATCTTTTTCATCTTCACTTATCATCTGCTGAGTGAGAGTCATCCTTCTTGGTCTTCACATCCTTTTCTTCCCAGTCCTCACTGTCTTCCTGTGAATTCTTTCCAGACCGCCTCTTATTTTTAGCTTCTCGAGGAGATGATCGCATTTTCTTAGCTGGAGGACCCGAATCTCTTCCATAATCTTCATCAGCATCATCAGATTCCTGAAACTGTGAATAATCAATGAACTTCCTATTTCTGACATGTTCGCTGTTGAAACAGGAGCCAGTCAAAGACCAGGACCCCACCCCGCCCAACCCCGCGTGCTTGGCGCCCCCCTGCCCCAACTTCAGCCGCTGCAGCTGAACCTCGACCTGC